TTTTATGTAGGAATCTATATATATAATTCTCTTCTGGGAGCCTTTAGAAAACAAGCTGCAAGCGCGCCTTACAGTCCCCTCTCTTCCTCTCTATCGCTACCACCCCCCAAATGGTCTGGTGAGCTGTGTTCACGCTGTTTACATTTTACAATCATAGAGACGGGTTTGGTGACGGCTATTAGGGGCAGATAATTTAGTTTGAAACGATTTTAACTTTAGAGGAGGTAACTTTCACGTGGGGGGGGGGGGGGGGGGGAAGAGAGAGAGGGAAAGGGGGTTTAGTGTTTTTAAGCAAATTTTTTCAGTGGCAGCATTGGTACTGTCGAATTCACAAATTATAAATTACTGAAAAGTAGAAAAAAAAACAACTAAATAGCGGCGTATGATACGCAGCGGGTCGGCTCGTGTCATTATAATAATGCAATTTTAAAAAACTTTTATGTAGAAATGTCATAAAAGCTAATTTTATAAATTTTATGTAGAACTAGAAATGTCAATAAAGTAATTTTATAAAACTTTTGTGTAGAAATGTCATTATAATAAAGTTATAATATAAAACTTTTATGTAGAAATGTCATTATAATGAAGTAATTTTATAAATCTTTTGTGTAGAAATGTCATTATAATAGTTATTATATAAAACTTTTATGTAGGAATATCATTATAATGAAGTAAATGAAGTAATTTTATAAATCTTTTATGTAGGAATGTCATTATAATAATGCAATTTTATAAAACTTTTATGTAGAAATGTCATAAAAGCTAATTTTATAAATTTTATGTAGAACTAGAAATGTCAATAAAGTAATTTTATAAAACTTTTGTGTAGAAATGTCATTATAATAAAGTTATTATATAAAACTTTTATGTAGGAATATCATTATAATGAAGTAATTTTATAAATCTTTTATGTAGGAATGTCATTATAATAATGCAATTTTATAAAACTTTTATGTAGAAATGTCATTAAAGCTAATTTTATAACTTTTATTTTAAGAAATGTCAATAAAGCAATTTTATAAAATTTTTATGCAGAAACTTCAATAAAGTAATTTTATAAAACTTTTGTGTAGAAATGTCAATAGAGTAATTTTTAAAAACTTTTACCTTAATACCTGTAGTTTTACTGGACTTGTTTTTAAAATAAATATTTTTAGTTATTTTAAAACTTATTTTGTAAAATTTAAATAGGACATCAAATATTTTGTGTGTATGTTGGCTAGTGTTAACTAGTCCAGTTATTGCATAACTATATCAGTACCAGTGGGAAAAAATACTATAGCTCTATCATTCACAAGGAGACATCATAATCAAGTTACAAATATGAATAAACAATGCTGTAAAACAAAAATATTAAATAAAAACAAATTTCTCAGATCTGACGCAGTATTTATTTCCATACATTTTGGACAACGTCTAAAAGGAGAGAGAAAAGTCTAGCAGACCAGACATCCCAGAGAAACAAAAAAAAGAACCAAAATATGTTTTAAGCTACATCAAATCATTTAAAGTGATTACACCAATCCCCAATTTAAAAAAAAAATAAAACACTTGCATACCCTGGCTTTGTGAAAGCTAAGAGAGTTTGGGCTTAACATTTCATCTAAGCCACTACTACAAGTGATTTTTTTGAGAAAAACAAAGCTTTGCATCACTCCAATGTTGAACACCAGAACTTACACAGTGTAAGTTGGAGAAAAACCATCTGCTGTTGTAGGTTAGCTCCCTTGGTCTATTGTTGACACTTGAGTGCCAGGATCTATAATATACACAACACCACCAAATAGTAGCATGTAGTCACCATCAGAAAAATAAAGTGATAAAAAAATCTACAGTATGCAGTTATGAAAAAGTAATATTTTCTAAAGTATAATGAGTTGCCTCTCAAGAAGAAAGAACTTCAATTGTACATCTACTTTAAATTGCTTATGAGGTCTTAGCACTATTATTTAACACTGTAGAAAATGTTTTCATTTTTGCCAATTTACACCATAAAATTTTTTTTTTTTAGTGTAATCAAGCAAATTAGAATACACAGAAGTATAAAAAGTAAACCTTAAAAAAACTGCATCATCTTTAGCCTTCATGCCAACTTGGTTAAAGACATTCCAATAGCTAACCCAACATATTTTACTTGTGAAATGTTGAAATTAGTATGGGCTAATCAATCTTTAAACATCTGTACTAATGCAACATAAACAAGTTTGTTAGCAGTATACATTGTAGATGCTTACATAGACTGCAATGGTAAGTTGTAAAAGCTAAAAAATTGTATACAATTACAGTAAGCCCCAAACATACAGGCAACCAATATACAAGATCAAGTTATGAGTAAAAAAAAAATCATGGGAATTTGTTCTCATCAGCAGAACTTAAAATACAAGCTAGAGTGATGACTTATGTAGTTAATATAGCCTGGCAAAAACAATTTCAATCGTTAGCATTGCCAGTCCCACAAAGTGAAAAAAATAAGAAAAGTCTTAAAAACATTGTAAAAATTGTTGGCTCATCAGCTGGTACACGCTCTCCTGCTACCTCACATCCTCCATTACCACCAGTCTTTTAATTAAGACTGATAAATCAAAACATTTTTTTATCTGTGTGCCATAAACATTTTCTATATAGTACTCATTATTATACTGGTTTGTAATTTTACATATAAATGGTGTTGGTCGGAGCATGATTGTTTATCTGATTTCCTTGAGTTTAAAATGGAAAAATAAAGTTTAGCTACACAAGTCTTAGACATGTGAGCTCAGCCGTGGGACAGATGAAACTTGTATGCTGAGCTGCAACTATTGGTGCATCACTTCAACTAGATCAATTTATTATCCTGTAAAGACCATCGAAAACTGTTTCAATAAATTATACCATTCATCAATAAATTAAACCAATTTAAAACAATGCAACATAATACAGTTAATCCTGCTCAAATCTGATTCTTGTATGTACAAAACTTATAGTTAAAAGAAAAATGCTGACTAATGGTATACGCCATGACAAAGTTTACAGACTGCGTAGATTACTCTCATGATGTGTGCCAACACAGTATTAATAATCTGTGACAGGTAAAATGTCTGTACTAAGTGACATCTAGTAATAGTTGCTCTTTTTTTTTCCAGAATACCATGACAATGCTGACAATGTATTAATTGGCATCTAGTAATAGTTACTCAATTTTCTTTCCAGAGTACCATGTCAACAATAGCAGTGTATTAATTGGCATCTAGTAAGTTAATTTTTTTTTCCAATTACCATGACAATGGATAGAAAATGCTGAGGAAAAAAAACGCTTGAACAAAAATTACCTGGAATAATTATGGAAAACATCTTGATGATAAAACAATCAGAGCAGAGAAAAAAAATGCTAAAACAAATTAGAACAACTAGATATGCTGGTAAGCATAATTCAACTCAGTAACAACACCAGTTTCATTCAATGATAATTTATACCTTTCATAAACTAATATATGAATCTTATGGTACAATAGGGAAAAATGACATCATTTATAATAGTTGAATCACAGAAAAAAAAAGTCATATAACTTACTAATGGTCCACTATACAGTTCACCAGTCAACATCTAGCCTACACAATGAGGTGCAAAACATCAAGACATGCTTTGGTTACACCAAGGGACATTGGAGGAGATTTCTGGATACACACAAGTACGTACAACAACCTAGAAACACAGCTGTGAGCTTTTTTAAAAATTCAGAAAGTGAAAACTAAACATTAAAAAAATGTCTTGATGAAACATTAAGAAAAAAATTGCCTGCTGATTGTAGCACTCCGTTATTGTGGTGTGATCGTGAACAAAATATTTGCAGTGATTATTTACAAAAACGACCAACCCTATAAAGTGCTGACAGATGCTGATGTGATGATGCATGTTTACCCACACCCTGGTCATAGAACAACAATCTACAAGGTCTATTGCTTTACAGACAAACATTAACACCGCCACTAGCAAACATCCAGTTATAAAAGTGTTCGTATACAATTAAAAGCTTCATTAACCATCCCATATATTTCTTTCATCAAAGGACTCAAAGCAAAAATTTTAACAACTCCAAGAGTCATTTGAAAAAATGTTAAGATACATACATTTGTTTTTTTTTATTTAATAAAACACTTATTTTTAAACTACTCATCCAAGTAGTGTTCAATACTTAAGTTCTCCAGTAAAAAGTTCTGATTCAAACACAAGTTACATAATTTTAGTTACCATATACTTGTTAACAAAGGTGAAAAGTGCTAAAAATAGAAGTATATCTTTGAAAACTGGTCTCATTAAAAATATGCCAAACAACATTTTTAACAATGGTAAGTGCATTAATAAAATATCCATCTCAAAAGTCAAGAAAATCTTTTAGAACAACAAAACTGTCACACACACAATGAACAGTATTGTGAGAAAACTCTTTAAATAACAAAGACTTTTACCCATTAAATATTCAATATCCTTGCACAACACATGACTTGCAGTGACATGATTTAGGTACATAAACATGATCCATTATTTAAGTGGCTGACTGACAAGAAGCAAAGAAATAAATATACAAAATAAAGCCACTACAAAAGTCAAATTAAAATGAAGGTTGAGAATAAAACAATTATATTTTGTACAGAAGCTGTGTTTGAACATCTAATAAAAGGCATATCTATAAAAAATAATTGAAGCAGAAGTTTCAGTCATGGCTGACTTGAAAAAGCTATGAGTTAAATTATTTAAATAACAAATGAAAATGATACAAGGTTCACCAGATGAAACAAATATATAAATATATGGAAAATTATAATACTTGATCAAACAAAGCTTGTAACATTTTTTTTCCAACGCCTGTCCTTAAACCAAAAATGTGAGAATCTCAGTGGAACAGTAACAATGCTGCAAGAGTTACTCTGTGCTAATACTTGTAAAAACAAAGTAACACAGAAAAGTTACACTAGTGTGGAGGTATCTTCAAAATTGAAATTAAAAACAATAAAACAAAGTATTTTAGTTAAATCCCTGAACACATCAAGCTTGAATTTTTGAAGTTTTCAAACACAAATTTTAAAAAATCAAAGACTTTGAATTACTTAAGTCCTACAGCACTGCTATGTCACAATTTAAGGACAATTTGTTTTTATCACACAATCTTTACAAGTATTTATCTGTATAAATGCTTGATAATATGACAGTCCCAGTAGTAAATCTATCTTTTATGTACAGGACAAAAAAAATCTTACAAAGTACGCAAGCTTAATATGGGTTTTTTTTATTTTAAAATCTAATAGGTTAAAAGTTTACCTTAAAGAAGTTTTAGAAAAGGAAAAAAGTCAACTTAAATCTAAATAAGATGATATATGTGTATATAAATATTTATCTTTCTGATATTTTTATGGAATTTTTTTTTGTAAAAATGTAGTTTGTACACTAGTGACCAGTTCACTTGCCCTCCTTACTTTTGTTCCACTTCTGTAGTGCTTTTGTGAAATTTTTGCACACAGCTGGAATAGAGCCTGGCTCTCTCTGCCTGACAATACATCTCTGTATGTAGTTGTAAGTGTTTTCTATTGTCTCTGGGTACATCATGTTGAACACCCAGTAGCTGGAATACAGAGAGGCAAATGCAATAGTGAACTCCTCAAATTCCTGAACTATTGTGTTTTCTGCTATCAGGAAGAATTCATCTGTGCGGAAAATATTCCCACGAGCAACTAAAGTTGGAACGATCTTTCCCTGGGCGACAACTTCTTCATCTTCTCCAATTTCAAGTACCATTTCCACAAAATTTTCCCCAAAGTGAAGAGGCAGCAAGCAAAGAGCTGTCACCATATCCCAGTACTGCTTCAGTGTATCATTCTCTTGTTTAGCCTGCTCCCACCTGGCCAGAACTGGGGCGGCCCCTTTGATGTTCCTGGCCATCTCAATTACAGCTGTAGCATATCTAACACAAAATTCTTGAATCTTTTGATCTATGTCAATCTTTGTGATGCGCTGGAATTCAATTAGCAATTGTTTGCCCATAAAAAGATCTGGGTACTGCTTTTTAAGCTCTGGAATTGTTGGCATTTGCTTGGTAATAATTTTTCTGCGTTGCTCAAATGTTTTGTCCATATGTTCTAATATTTGCTCTGGTGTCTTGCCTGGCCCTTTGCTGGACCCAGAAGGGGGAGAGAGCCTGGGTTTTTTCTCAGGCTCCTCACCATCTTCCAGATGAGAGTTGCTGGTGTTTGGTTTAACCTCTGAATCATTTGTATGTTTGGCCTCAGCTGATGCTCCGGAAGCGGGTCGTGTTGTGTCACAAGCAGCTGTTGCTACTGATGTTTCCATGGGCTCAGGAGTTGACTTGGTAATTTCACTGTTTGCTACAGCCAAAGGTTGAGATGTGGGTGCTAATGCAATGCTGGTTGGGACCTGGACCTTTTTATCAGATTCAATCTCTGGGTCTTGCTTTGCAGTTCCATTTTCACAGGTAGATCCATCTGACACTGCTGGGGATTCATCAACTAAACTTTTATCTCCATTGGCTGTTGTGTGTCCATTATCAAGATCAGTTTTTTTCCCCTTTGATTCAGGTGAATGCTTCACACCTTGGTCTGAATTAGTAGCATTGGTAGTTTTAGAAGAGACTTCAACTTTTTGGGCAGCATCAGAAATATTCACAGTAGCACAACCTTCTTGGGGGTTTGATTCTGAAACCTTTGTATCACTCTGAGCTACCTCTGAAGGTACAGGTGAAACAAGAGGATTTGGCGGATTTGTAGCTTCAGATGCAGCTATTTCACTGTGTGGACGTTTGGTCGCTTGAGGCACGACCACAGGAGCACTAACACTGCTGGCCATTACTGTATGAAACTTTCTTACTGTTTAGTCAATAATTCCTTAAAAACAGAAAATTTTGAAAATTAGCCTAACATTTTAATTTTTATTCTGTAAAAATTAAGAGTGTAAATATTTATTTTTGTTTACCAATCTGAAGGGGTATGATGCACATATGGGATGGCGTGGCCTAGCAGTAAAGAGCTAGACTGCTAACCCAAAAGTCTCAAGTTTAAATCCGGGTTTAAGTAGGTAGAATGTTCATGAGCCCTATCAGCTCTAATGCATAGCTTACGTTAGGGAATCAAAGCCGGCCTGGGATAGTGCTGACCCCACATCACTTCATTTGCTGAGGTCTCTGAAGGAAATAAAGCCTTATTCATTTGCCCCATCGGTCTTGGGCACGAACGGGAATAGATAATGATGCACACTGAGCAGCATAATCATAAAAGAATGATCAGCTGTCCGGAATGAGCATATAGGTAATGTAGACTAACTTTTTAAATGAAGAAGATTAAGAATTGATAAAAGAAGACTGATATTTTGTTATAAATACTGTATAATGTAGCCCTAAAAAAATTTCAATTGAACCTCTTTATAAGGAGAAGGAACACCTATTATTTAAAATTATGAATTTTGTACATATAAAATTTTTTAATAAATTGAAACATAAATCAATGAAATACAACTGGGAATAATATCTTTCAATGACAAACGGCATTTATCAGGACTGGGGAATGTGGTATAGATTAGTTAAGAGAAGAGTGGTATTTTTACTTTATATTTTTATAAGAAAAAGTATTTGTTTAAATTTAAATGTCCATATCTGCAATTTAGATGATCAACCATGCTATGCACTCTAAATCTTAAGTAATAAATCAGGGTTTGAAACTTATCTTTTAATTAATAGGCCTTATATTAATTAGTCCAATGCATCTGTTTAGTTTGTAGTTCACATCGCTATTCAACTATCAATTACCATTTTAAAATTTACTTAGAGGGGGGGGGGGGGGGGGGGGGGGGGGAGAGAATGTAAGCAAGTCCTTTTAAATCAGTTATTATTCATATTTCCATCGCAATTTTCCCAAGTTGGTTTCTCTTAGTAAAAATCTAAGCAATGTGTCCTTTTTTCCCTGCAACTATACCAGCAATCACGTCAAAAACCCAAAATAATTTAGGAAAGTAACCCTTTCAAGAATAACAGCAAAAAAAATAAAAATAGGCCTTATTGATAATATAGCTAGTCTCATAACGCGAGTTGAATTACCTCCCCTGACCCGCTTTTTTATGGCCACTTTCTAGTTCGTTTTTTTCTATCGCGCCTCGGCACTGTTGCTAAAAATAGCATTCGCGCAATACCATACGGGTAAATCTGTTTGGCGTCTGCTACACGTGATAGATCGTTGAATGGCCGACAAGCTGATATAAAAATTATTGCGACCGGATGCGATTTTCGTGGAAATTGAGCTAGATTTAGCAAAAGACAGCTATATTTGTGTAAAATATTATTATTTATACTTCTACTTACACAGATATTTTGATAACTGCAGTTCAGCCGTCCATTTTTCTTTTAAAATGTATCTTTAGAATTTCTGTACCTTTTGGCAATCGGTCAGGAGCATTTGCGCACTAAACCCACCCCCCTACGGCAGATCCGATTTTTTTCCCAGTGAACTCGTACTGACCTCCCACATAGCTAAGATAGTACATTGATATTGATGGGAAAGCCTCTAAATCTGTATTCCTACTAGAGATCTAGAAATAAATCTAGATCGTGGAGTTTTTATAATGACTTTTAAATTGAATGTCTCCAGTTTAAGATATTTTTTTTTCAAAACATAGCTACTTTTAGTACTATATTTAAGTATTTCAAACCCTTTTGGTAGTTTTTTTCTTAAACTTAGACCTAGATCTAGTGATTAGATATCTATATTTTGTACTTAAAACTTGCAGGCCTATTAAAATAATAATAAAACAGTCTGCTTCATTAGGTCATTTCATAAACACAAATGTTATAAACATATAAAAATCACAAAACCATAGGTAATATCTGAATTCTGTAGCCTACCTTACATTTAGGCTAATACTGAATTAAAAAGAAATTACATTAAGGTTTAAAATTAATACAACTTGTAATTAAGAAAGAAAGCTTCAATTCTAAATACTACAAGATATAATAACAAACAATGAAACAAATTCAAAGCTTTTTTCAACCCATTTAGTAGAAAAGATTTTTATTTTTTCCGATATTGACCAAAATAAGTTTTTAAAGCTTAGGCCTAATGTTTTTACAAACATAACTCAATTTTATTAGGCCCCTGTAAACATTAATTAAGATTCCTCTGTAGACAAAGCAATCTATTTGGCAGATGAAGTAGAGTTCATGTTTCTTGACCTCGGCATATGAAGTGATTGTCCGTGTGGTCAGCGATATTCACAGCCGCCTTTACTTTTTACCTTTAATTTCCCCAATGTATATCAGGTACCCATCAGAAATGGGTGGACTCTAATTGAATTTTATTAAACAAACATTTTGATATAGGCCTACATCTATAATCTATAACATTCCAAACAACATCTGTTCTGTAGAATTAACCTTTCTGCTTCCAAATGCGGTATTTTCCAATTGAAAATTCATCACAAAACATACAATAAATTATATAACTGGCATTTTATAAATTTATATAAACTATTTACTTTCTCCTTGGTGTAAAAAAATGTAGGTATAAGCAAACTGATTTCAATAGTAAGAAAGAATCATGTCTTTTCTTGCTTACTAGCTTTAAAACAAGTGAATTTGACTTTTTACCTGCGTTTTTGGTCGCGTTTCTATATATTTTATTTGCGACACTAAAAAATTTATATTTAATCAACCGATTATGCTAAATTAATAAAATTGGTACTGTTGGATTGCATTTTTAAATCTCTACAATTATATGCTATTCTTTTTATAATTTGAAGAAAATTGAATTTATATGAGACTAACTAGATAATACAATAAATGCCAAAGGTATGAATAGATAGGCCTACATTTGATGATAGATTTTAATCTGCATCATCCAGTACGATAGCCATACATATAACACACAGCTTCATTCTTTTATAGGGTGTTTCTAAGATTATCAAAAACTGTCATGAATATGAATAGCCCTAAAACAGGCTAAAACAACCATTGCCAGTCGACTGGTAATAGAGCAAATTACACTGTCCGGACACACACCGCGAAAAAACGCAACTTAAAACTTCCATGCGGTCTCATTCAGTAACCGCTTAACATAGGAAGGAAAAAAAAGTATCATATCTATCCGCAATCATTCTACTTTAATAATGTGTGTGTCATTTTGTATTCATACGCATAGAACTTTAGCTATTCTTGTTATAGTGACTGGGGGGTCTTAACATGTGTTCGGACACATGTAATACAATTTCAAATGTGTTCGGACACCTTTACCCGTCATCGGACAAAGCACTTTTTGTTCATTTAGAATAATTTAAAGTCAATTTAATGAATAAAAACATATATTATATGCATTTATATTGTGTTATTGATTGTTTGTGAGGTAATTTTAATAGTATAAAACCTTTTTCCCACACTCCCAAAGTTCATCCCATTCAGCCATTGCGGCTCGCGCAGTACGCTGCTAAGCCAGCCAGGTCACATGATTCCCCCTCCTCTTTCGCATTCCACTGCATTCTTGACCTTATTTTGACCCTTTCCCTTCAATAACCAGCCCCTTTTATGCTCTAAATTCTTATTTAATAATATTTTTGTGTTGCTGTCCGGTCCCATGTAAGGTCAAAAAAGTTAGCGAACACCCCTTTTTTATTGTTCAAGCACAAAATAACCCATTAACCTTGACATTTACGATGTTCCATACATATATAGAAGCTATTTATAGTGTAACCTTTTAGCTAAGCGTTGATTGGTTCAAGTTTTGCCCCTAAGTCCAACCCTAGGTCACTTCATCCGGCTGGTGTAAAAATAGAAATGTGCGTACCATGCAACGTTAAAAATTTTCTAAAAATAATTCTTGAGAGAGGAAACAGAAGTACTTGACACGGAAGTGTTCATAAATGAACAGTTTACGTGCAGGCGCCGTTGTTTCGCATGAGACATGCTAATTAAAGTTTCTATGAGCCAAAAACCGACGAAGTGTTCGGTCCCATGTAGTGTTCGGACAATGTAATTTGCTCTAGAAACTTTGATAATTTTACTCATTTATCTTTAGGTTTTGTTATGCTCTCACTTCAGCCTTAGACAACATTGGATGCTGCTTTTGAATCCAGTGAAAAGAATTAAAAAGGTTTTTAATGAAAGTCCTTTCATTTGAGATGATTGACCATCCTTTTGAAATAATTAAAAACAATGAATGATCCCCTTGAGTATGCACATCTTGCATCTTTGCTGAGTAGGCCTTGGGGGTGAGAATTATAACAAATATTACAATGGCCACTAATTACCCAAATACTATGTCAATTTGCACAATGATAAATCGTCTAATTAATATATATATATCACTTTTTAAAAATGATTATATTTTTCTATTAACGGATCTATTTTAAGGGGGGAAAAGGCTATGCACATTTCCATCAAAAACGTGAGTCGCCCAGTCCGCAGTGCGAATCTGGTTGGCAATGTGGAGAAGCCGGTTTAACCAAATAATTCACACCAATGCTGTATATTACTAGCAACATTGTTAAACATTAAACTGTATGCAAATCATTTAACAACCAGCATATTTTTGCATATTACCTGGAAGCATAACATAAAAAGATGTTTCGACAAAATCTGCAACAAGTCATTGAATGTAGACCAACAATCTCTAAACCGGATGTCGAAATAAAAACATAGAAATAATATGGGGCCATTCATTGTTAAATTCCATTTAGATCCCTAACCAGAATCTAGATCTAGGCAAGTTTAAGATTCTAGCATCTGGAATTCTAGATCTATAGTTTAGCCTTTATTTTAAATATTAAGCCGATTTCCAAATGTAAACTAGAATTTACCTGTTATTTTAAAATAAGGTTAATTATTGATTGATCTTTTAAATTTTCAAATACTTTTCCACTAATGTAATTATGCTTTTAACATATTGTCTCCCTAGCCCTATACTCTTGAATAAGCTCATCTACGCCTAAATGTGGCTAATAGTCACGTTCTATATCTAGTCTAGAAGCTTTTTAGTTTGTCTAAATAAATTGAAAAATGATAGTTCACCTGTCAATACTGCTTAAATGCGTTGGGCATGACTGTGGTTAAAAAAATATGACTACGACGGTCGTAATTAAATGATACACAACTGTCTTAGGCGTCACACATTGAACGAGGCTATTATTTTATTAGGTTTAGACAAAGAGTGTACAAGCAGATCTGCAACAGCTTGGAGTCTAGGCCTACAAGGCGTACAGCTTGAATGGTAAAATATGATGCGCAGGTCAGAGCTCTCCACGTGTTGTGTTGTCTGGTGTTCTTACAGTATACTATTTATAGGCCTGTTGTTTTTTCATTTTCAAATCCTTACTTGGCAGCCTGGACGGATCCTCTTGTTTGTTGCTCAATATAAACACAATTATACCCCCTCCTCCATCTAGTCATTATTAAGTAAAGACAAAAAAAAAATGCCACCAATTACCTACTCGACCTTTTATTGATTTGTAGGGCCTACATTTACAGCTGAACAGCTTGGCCTACTAATATCCCGTATTTCACCTATCAAATTCGCTATGATGAGAATGATTGTCTTTGATGCTTTCCTTCTTGCTAATGTATTTTGTAGCTTAGTATACCGTTTTCGTAAAATATGTCACTAACTGCTACTTTATTGTTAAGTGACTACACTGCTTCGTGATTATTGATGCAAACGTTGTGACCAACCTCATTACACATGCAGTCCTATATGATGGCCATATCATCACACTCAGGACTACGTAGAGCTGGCATGGGCACGAAAAAAGGCGTCACGATAGGGGGGGGGGGGGGCGGACCGCACTGGATGACACCATTGATGGAATTGGGGTGGGGGGGGGGGGACACTAAGGCGAAAAAATTGCAAATTCACAGAAGAAAATGCTGTTGCAAGTTCAGCTATTAATTAATTTAATTTAATTAGTTTTTGAGCATAAATTGACGATTCCCGCAAGGGGGAGGAGGCACCTAGATGTAAACTTGCTAACTATTATTATTGTATTAGTAACCGACTATAGACAAGCATTGAAACTATTATAATGGTCAGTGTTTCTTTCTGACTTTTTCGCCGGGGGGGGGGGGGGAGGGGTGCATCTTTTTTTTTATAATGAAAGAGTTTATTTTTTTCCACTTTAATTAATAGATGGATTAATAAAAATTTGTGCGCAAATTGACGCCTTTAGGCAAAATGGGAGGACGCCAATCGCAACTTTCAAGTACCGAATAGAACGATCGAAATACAACGTCCACTAAAGTGGATTTGGGTCACACCTCATTGGAAAATTATTACTAATCAGCATATCATTTGATGTTTAGACGTCGCTGCTAAGTAACTTATCAATGCTAAAACCCTTATCAACAGCCTCCGAGTGTGAAAGTGTTTGTATATGTCGGTGTGGGCACGTTTGTCAGGATACGTTTGATAAGATTTTGGCCCAGACCATAGCCTTGTTTGATTTCTTTAATTGGGAATCAAACCTAGGTGTCTCAACTGTTCGTGACAAACGAAATAATTTATTTAAGAAATGTACGCTTATGTTTGAGCCCCCCCCCCCCCCCTCTATCTACCCTACCCGGTGAACGAAAAAAAAAGTCACAGGACAAAAAACAGAAAAAAAGTCACAGTAAAAAGTCACAAAAGAAAAATGTTATCGGAAAAAATGTCACAAAAATAAAGCCGCAGAAAATAAAGTCACAACAATTTTTAAAAAAATATTTTGATTTAATTGTTGAGAATTGTAAAATTTTGGTGTTTATGAATGGGTGCTTGTATTTTTTCGTTGCATTTTTATAAACTTTAAAAGCATTATGGTTCATAACAATAATAAACAAAAATACTATACAACACAGCAATCTCTACTTTTTAAAAGTATTTAGTTGAATGCGCGGTAGAAAATTTTATTATATAAGAAATATATGCGTATCATTGTGTTTTGCGTATTTTTTTGGTCGGCTTCTCCTCGGTCAGCCTTGTCCGTCCGTATTTGTGTTGTTGACGTTTCGCGTCAATGACATCACTTGTACCGTGTCGGCTTTTTTGTTTTGATACAATGCTTATTATGTAATGGGCGTGACAAATGTGGGCAGTAAAGTTGACTGAACTATTGTTGCGATGAGCTGATTACACCAAGTCACACTAACCACGTCTTTATGCCATTTCACGCTAATGGGTGTGGGGAAATTGCGAGACGCGAAAAGCGAAATGGCGAGGCGGGAAAATGCGAGAAGGTAATGCGAGACATACCTGCGGAATTAAGGGTAAATAGCGAGACACTTTTTGCGAAAAAAGTTTTTTTTCTTTTTTTTGTCCATCTTTATTTATTTAAATTATTTTTGTTTTTGTTTTAAAATAAACAAGCATTTAACCATACCCTTTAACACGAGTGTTGTATGTTGTTATTTTTTATCTAGATACTAAGAAGATAGATCTATATCTAGATCTATCTATTTAAAAATCCTAACATCGTTGCTGTGCTACTGTCATCGCCCGCTCTTGTTAGCGAGAGGAAAATCCCGTCTCAGTCGGCATTAATTTAAAAATCTAGCCCGCTCATGTTTATACAAACGTGAGCTGTGTCATTGTGAATTGGTATAATCTTGTCAGCAGGAGAGATATTTATTTTTTTATTAAGTAATTTTAACTACAAACAAAATTTACAAACAAAATCTTCTGAAACAGTCCTCAAACACACATCGTGACCCATTTATACATTTTTCTTTTGCTACTTCTTCCAATCCACATTCACAACATTTCACATTCTCATCACAGTTGACCTCCTCGTTCATCCCACAAACAACACTGGCACCCATGTTCTCATCATCATCATCCGCACGCTCAACATCTGTTTTCCGTTTTTTATAATTTGGATTTTTTATCATTTCTGTAATTTTGGCACAACCGTGATATAAAATCTAATATAAATTAGTGTAAAGGAACATTGGAAGAGAAAACACACAGTAGTAGTTCTTACCTCCAGAATAGTTGTATCCAAATGATGTAGGCATTTCCTTGTGCTTAGATTTATATGGTAAAAAAGCTAGAAAAAAATCGTAGGCGGCGGCTATAATACAAAATTTCTATGCAACAATAGAAAATATGTTTGCGGCGGCAGCGGATCCGGGCGCGGCGATCTTCAAAGACGGTAAATCAGGCGGCCTCGGCGTTCCAAACAAAAGAAAGAAGTTGATCTATCGTCGTCGGTATTTCCGTCGGTTTCGAACAAGGTGGTATTCTAAGTCGACACAAAAGATGGGGGGAGCTGACAAATCATCAGTATGTCTAGCGACGGAAAAATCGGAAGTTTTAACAATGTAAACGAAACGTCTTTGAAGTCTGGACCAAATACCACTGAAAATCGGGTGCGGTAAATTTTTCGCAGAAATCTTCGCATTTCAACACCACCCAGCGTAAGTATCGGCTTGTGGTAAAATGCGAGACAAAAAGTCACGTGACCTACCGTTTTCGCGCCCTTCTCGCATTTTCCCGCCTCGCCATTTCGCTTTTCGCGTCTCGCAATTTCCCCACACCCCACGCTAATTTAATTGTAGTGTTTTAAAAACACGATGAAAAACGAAAAGTTTGCGTCATCCTATTTAGTTCAAGAGCGGAATTAAAACCTACATACTTCATATTTTTTCGTGTGTCATACATAGGGGTCATCCACAAATGACGGCACGCTTTTTTGACGATTTTTACCTCCTCCCCCCTCCCACCTCCCCTCCGTCACACGTCGTCACAAAAAGCCAGACCCCCCCCCCCTAAAATGACTTCACACCTCAACCTACAACCCCCCCCCCCTCGAAATTGCAGTTGAATTTTTTAAAAACATCGATATTTTTCTAAAATCTTGTCAAAACTATTACAATTTATTAAAACAGTTATAACGTTTATACTTTTTTTTTTTTACTTTTTTTCCTGTGACTTTTTTTGTGTTTTTCCTGTGTTTTTTTTTTTTTTGTCCTTTGACTTTTCCCCCTACAATCCCCTCCCCCTCCCCCCTCCCTTTCTAGAGCTAAATTTCCCCCTGGAGAAACATTTCTGAAAGAAACACTGCTGATGGTAGAAACAATAGTTTTCAAAAATTCAAATGAAAGTTCATTTCGTGTTCTTCAGCGCCAGTTAGGGTCATGAATGGTAATTAGTAAGACCCGGAAACCAATTCGGAAATAATCTAAAACTGAGTGTCAACGGTTTTGTTTGGTCAACAATAGGCCAACACAAGGAATGTCGAATAAGTAATTGTTCTAGAATCTAGGTCTTTCCCTGCATAAACATCTAGATTTAGATCTGCTAGTTATAGTTCTATGTGCTACACCGTTTTAACGGATGGTAAATTTTTAAAAATTACAACAATAATTTAATAAATAAATAGTAAATAGTTAGGCTTAGCTAGATCTATGCAAAGTTACATTTTTTTCTAATCTAACTAAATCTAAGAAAACCTGATCACTGGACCTGACCTCGCTGTTTTGTCACAGTCATTACCTCTGAGATCGAGTACGGAGTAGATCTAGGGCCTACTGAGTTTAATTTAAACAATATTATATTAGGAGGGGCTAAAATACATGGTTTTAATTTAATTAATAATTATTGGTGCCATAGGCCTACATGCCTACAGCTTAGCTGGGAAAAGTTTTTCTGTGACAACCATTCAGAGATCTGACTCCTAGACTTTTCTAAATAAAGTTGACCTGAAAATGACCTAGGATGTTCGTAAGGTCACTAAGGATCATGTGTAGGGAGGGGGGAGTGGAGGTATGCTGCAAGGAAACATAAAATGATTCTCCTAACTTCGTTATGTAACCTATTTTCTGTATTTTTTTAGTAGGCCTATAGGCCAAATGAAGAAACCAAAAATAATCATGTTTTATTGTTTAAAATATATAGATCTAAACTGTTTTTAGGAAATTTGTATTCATGTTTTATTTAGTTTTGATTAGGCTAATCAGTATAAGTATTTTAGCAAGGTTTAATTAGGACAATTTATAAAAGATTGTGATGTGATTGTAAAATCATAGTAAAATGAATTTAACCCTCCTCCCTGGACAGTCGCGATATTATCAAAGACTGAGTTTAAAATATTTAAAATATTTTGTTAAGATTCATATCTATTTGATTTTTCTTTTAAAAACTTTCATCACATTAAAATTTATCACATGTAGGCGAGAAATGCATCTCAATCAGCAACATGGGCTGCGCCTGTGGCAGACAGCTCCCCCCCCCCCCCCCCCATGGCAGACAGCTTGCTCACTCGTTCGGGTAGTTTTATCAAGAGAAGCTAACTAATATAAATAGAGTATCGGGCCTATTAAATAAAAACATGCCTATAAAATGTTTTTGAAAAAATGTCAGCGCATCGAAACTGATCAGTTAAGTAAAACTTAATGTTGAGATGATCACTTGAACAAAGCAAAAAAAAAACAATTGCCCAATCCTATACAAGGTTAGGTAGCCATGTTGTTGTTAGCTACAACCCCGCCCACTAGGTTTGTAAGAATTGCTCGACAAGTAACTAGAGATCTACTGATCTAGTTTACTATAACTTGAGATCTGCTAGCTAGATCTAGCTAACTTTAGACTTCTTAAGACTGATGAGCTAGATAACTAGTATAAGACTAGTAGATTGTATGATTAGTAAGAGTGTAGTGTATGTATCCTGATAATTTTTTTAATGAGAGTAAACACTAGCCAAAATTTTAAATGTTATCTGCCCATAGATTTGCAGGTGTGGCATGAAATATCTAGTGGAGGAAAGTACAGATTATTTTAGTATGAGTTGAAAATGTTGCAAGGAAGAAATACGCAGATGGGCTACCCTGAAGAGATCTTATCCCTTCCCATGTTCCATGCAAACATCCTTAGTAGAGAAGAGGTTGGTGTTTCACTCTTTTTCTTTAACTATTATATCACTATTATATCTGTGGTTCTTACTATGGAGCATTGCCTGTACTGAGGATAGTATGTACTGGTAGATGTTGTATAGCAATCTGCAATACAAATCTTACCTCATAAACACATTAGGTAGACAGAAATTTGAATGCACACCCTAGAGGTGGATGTAACACAGTGGGTAGGCAGAGAGTTTACTGAACACTCTAGAGGTGGACCTAAAGCAACATACATTAGGTAGGCAGAGAGTTTACTGCACACTCTAGACAGTCTAGAGGTGGACCTAAAGCAACATACATTGGGTAGGCAGAGAGTTTACTGCACACTCTAGACAGTCTAGAGGTGGACCTAAAGCAACATACATTGGGTAGGCAGAGAGTTTACTGCACACTCTAGAGGTGGACCTAAAGCAACATACATTGGGTAGGCAGAGAGTTTACTGCACACTCTAGACAGTCTAGAGGTGGACCTAAAGCAACATACATTGGGTAGGCAGAGAGTTTACTGCACACTCTAGAGGTGGACCTAAAGCAACATACATTGGGTAGGCAGAGAGTTTACTGAACACTCTAGAGGTGGACCTAAAGCAACATACATTGGGTAGGCAGAGAGTTTACTGCACACTCTAGAGGTGGACCTAAAGCAACATACATTGGGTAGGCAGAGAGTTTACTGCACACTCTAGACAGTCTAGAGGTGGACCTAAAGCAACATACATTGGGCAGACAGAGAGTTTACTGCACACTCTAGACAGTCTAGAGGTGGACCTAAAGCAACATACATTGGACAGTTCATTGCAAGGTGTCTGTATGTGGTGGTGCCGCCTGTCATGTGCTATTGCACCATATCTGTGTTAGAGTATACTTTAAGTAGTAGTGTGCATTTTAAAAACTAAAATGTGGTTTGAAATTATAGTTTTTTAATTTAGAAAATGTGTAAAAACAGTTTAAGCAATTTTGTTAAAACATCCTAAAGTCCTGGTTACAAATTCTGCCTTCACAAATATCATGTACTGTGTACAACTTTGTGCTGATATGTTCAATATTTTCAGGCCAGGGACTACATGTTGAGGCATCATGAGGGTGAAGGATCTTATTTTGTCCGACCCAACACAAAAAATGACCCAACATTTGTTAGTATAACAACCAGGTAACCATTTCAGCATCATAGTCCGCCCATACATTTGTACCATTATAGAGTTCATTGTTTCAAAGTTTAAATACTAAGCTAAATCATTTATTTTAACTCTCGCTAGTATATCAAACAGTGGCGAATCTTGCCATGCCAAAGTCTTCATCCACAAGCACAATGGCATGCACTACTATTACATATCAGAGAGACTTAAGTTCTCAACATTCAAAGATTTACTGAGTTACTATGCTGAGCATCGCATCCACTGTATTCAGAACATTGACAATATACGACTGCGTAAACCACTGAACAAGAACTCAGATTCCAGACAGCAGGTAAATGTTGACTCTTCTCTCTCTCAGTTGGTTTTGTTAATCCTCTACTACAGGTAAATGAATCATTTAAATGATGATCTGTGGTAATTATGTGGTCATGTTATATGAGAAAACCAGAGAACCCCATGATAAAACTACATTATATCCAAGTCTTTTTTCTCCAACTTTCCTAGCGTTCAGGCATGTCCCCAGCCTATAGGGCAGAGCCTGACCAGGTTGGTTACAGAAGAGACCAGTTTAACACCTGGGAGAGGACACGAGGCAGAGACTCTGAAGAAATGAGAGGTTAGTTTTATACTGTAACGACCATTTTGCTTGCTGTCAAACTGATAGAAAACTGATTGTTGTCATTGAATTGGAAGTCTCCATTGTTTTGATGGTGTATTTCCAGTTTAGAAGTTTTGTTATTTGCTCAGATGTTGACGTTGTTTGTTACCATCTGCCAGCAGCCCCAACTTCCAGAAGAAATTATTCCGTGCCTTCCTTCGGTGCGCAGAGCCACAACAGTGACAAAAGGCCATCTCTATCAGGCCATCCATCCCAGGCCAACGGACACCATGGGAGCTCTATCCAGAGATCTGTTTCAGAGAACGACGGACGACCTTACAGTGCCCAAAAGTACGCCAATGCCAAATCTGTGCAGGAAAATGCAAAGATGATGTTCAAGTGCATGCCACCTGCTCCCCTTCCCAAGCTGGAGTCTGTGCCCTCAGACAATGACTTCTACTACACACACATTGATGTGAACAAGAATTTCTTTGAGGAGACCTACCAGTTTCTCAAGGAGAATGAGCTGTGTGAGTGTGGTCTCCGGCTGATTGACTCTGAGTTCCCCAAGGGATGGACCATCCACCGGAGTCATGAGAAGTCCACGCTCAACCGAATCTTCTTCCAGCACCGGGAGACAACCACGTGGGAGATGCCGGAGGAAATAGCCCCTTTGCTGACACCCCAGCAGATCCAGTTTGTGCTCTACCTGTGTCAAGATGGGAAAAGTCCTGTCCCCAAAACTTTAAGGAAACGTCTGGATGCTGAAATGAACAGGGTAAGTGGGTTGTAAACATCATGAATCTTTAAGTGGGCTGTAAATAATTGAATTGGGCCTAAGCTATACATGGTTTGAAGCTGAATTTTACTTGGTGAATCACTTTAAACATCTAAAAACTGTGTTGAAAGTAATTGTTTTAATTGATAAAAAAATACTATGATGAGAAGTCTGATGGAGAAAGATTTTTTTTTTTATATTGCGGGGCAATACTGTTTAATGGCTTTAAAGAGTGTGTTGTGCCAATTCCATATGCCAGGTATTTGTTAGCTAAAGAGGTGAATGAGGAGAAGATACAGTGGTAAATATAGAATGAACACAATCCGCCCTAGCAAACCATTTTTTCTCTTGTTTGCTCTGTTTGGAAAACTTTTATTAGTACCAGCATTGGACAACAGTTGATTTATATAAAAACTGGGTAACTATAAAGAAAAAAGCACAAAATTATGTGAAAATAACTAGGCAAAGCTTGATTGCAGGCTTGTGTGGAGTCATCTTGAGGAGACGTTTACAGAAGTGAGAGGGGGTGGGATATGGAAACAACTACACACAGTCATGGAAATGTTTCTCCATTTCAGTTCCATTTTCATCTCCTCTTCCACTTCCCTCCCCCCCTCTACATGCCGCCAACCCCCTCCCCTCTCCCAATTGAGGTAGATACTTTTTAGGCTGCCTTCAGTTTAGGAGGCTGTGTATAACAGTTGAGTAATAATTGTCTAATATTGTTGATTCTGTTTCTAGGTGAAGGAAAGACAGGTGTCAACACTCTCTCCCTCAAACTCTGCATCCAGCTTTTCCCCAACTGTCAATAAAGACAGAAATGGTGTCAAGGTGTTGCCAAACAAATACATGGATGAAGATTTCCATGAGCCTTCTCTCTCCAGAAATGGGCTTTACGAAGCCCCTGAGGAAATTGACCAGGCCTCTGGTACATCCACTTCACAGAACAGGCTGAGACCCCTGAGCTTTGACTCCACACCAGCCCAGATGATCAACTTCAAGGCTGGATCCCCAACACCTGATTTCATTGGCCCCCTGTCTTTTGAACATTTGCAGCAGAGAAAAGAACGCAAGCAACACCAGTTATTGGACCAGGAGCTACGGAACCTGGTCACTGAGGAAATGTAAACATGAGTTACAGAACCTGGTCACTGAGGAAATGTAAACATGAGTTACAGAACCTGGTCACTGAGGAAATGTAAACATGAGTTACAGAACCTGGTCACTGAGGAAATGTAAACATGAGTTACAGAACCTGGTCACTGAGGAAATGTAAACATGAGTTACAGAACCTGGTCACTGAGGAAATGTAAACATGAGTTACAGAACCTGTTCACTGAGGAAATGTAAACATAGTTACAGAACCTGGTCACTGAGGAAATGTAAACATGAGTTACAGAACCTGGTCACTGAGGAAATGTAAACATGAGTTACAGAACCTGGTCACTGAGGAAATGTAAACATGAGTTACAGAACCTGGTCACTGAGGAAATGTAAACATGAGTTACAGAACCTGGTCACTGAGGAAATGTAAACATGAGTTACAGAACCTGGTCACTGAGGAAATGTAAACATGAGTTACAGAACCTGGTCACTGAGGAAATGTAAACATGAGTTACAGAACCTGGTCACTGAGGAAATGTAAACAGGAGTTACAGAACCTGTTCACTGAGGAAATGTAAACATAGTTACAGAACCTGGTCACTGAGGAAATGTAAACATGAGTTACAGAACCTGGTCACTGAGGAAATGTAAACATGAGTTACAGAACCTGGTCACTGAGGAAATGTAAACATGAGTTACAGAACCTGGTCACTGAGGAAAAGGTAAACCACCCAGTAGCATAGATACTAATTTAATCTATCACAACTATAAATACTGTGCCATTAATGTATTGTATTGAACTCTGGCTAATATTCTGCTTTCTTGAACTAACGTAAGGGCAGGTTCTCAGCAGCATCACTGATTACCTCCCCTTAGGTCAGATCAAGAAAGCCTGTTAAGCAACCCAAGTTTTTCCCTTATAAAACAGAGAAAAAAGATAGAGTTACTCATATTTGATTTTCAATACAAACATAACCAATTGATACAACAATCATCACTAGGTCAGGTGTCACCAGGTGCTGTGATGGGGGGGGGGGGTCTCACCCTACCCCTTTTTTTAATATGGTGTCACCCTCTCCCTCTTCTAATTTATACATATAGCCATATAAAGCTTTGATTTCTTAAATTTTATGTTTTTCTGATTTTGTCTTACCCCTAAATGATGTCACCCTGTCCCTGCCACATGACGCTACTTTTTGGCATTATATAGACACCCCCCCCCCCCCCCCCCCCTTGCTTTGTGATGCTACTATTATGATTATTATTAACAGCAAACTTTGAGCACCTATAAACATTGGAGCACCTTTTATTATGTTAAAAAATATACTTTTAAATGTTCTTTTAAAAGTATTAAATAAATTAAGATATTTTTTACTTGCATGTATTTGTAAATACAAAGTGGGAAAACTTCAGAGAAGTTCCAGAGAGATTTTTATGTGACTTAACATACATTTTTTAGTGTGAAGCACACATGTTCTAAACTTCAGTGTTTATAGAAGTAACTTATTTGATCACTTTTTTCAATATAACAATGTATATACTGTTAATAGTGAAAACATAGAGGCAGCTCATGCATGAAATAACTTAATGAAGCATGTTTTTCTAGCACACTTTCTAGCTAACTGGGCTCCACCTTAAGTACCTTAGAGATTAAGTAATACAGAAAGTGTTTCATAAAAACTAGAACTTTTTCTACTATTAGTACTAGTGTAAACTTGATTCATGAAAACTAGAATTTTTTCCTACTAGTGTAAAAAAAAATTGGTTTCATGAAAACTAGAGGAAATATAATGAAAACTTTTGCATGATTATTGCTTTTTATATTTTGATATGTTATTGTAAGATTTTATTTACATCAGATCTTTCTCTTGTGTGATAAACATTGTCAAACTGATCACAGAAGCTTTGAGATCACCTGTAGACTCCCATCGTTTTTTGTGTAAATTAAATTTAATGGTAGTATTGATATAATTGGATAATTATAATTGGGAAGGCTGTGGTTTGTATTTTCTGTTTTTTAATGATATGACATGTTGTGTTATATTGTTTGTTGATGTCATTGACATGATCAAACCCTGCTACCAGTGTTGTCATTGGGCTGTGTTACTCTCCCATAGTTCAGTGTATCATGTTTGGTCTTTTGAACTGTTTTAATGTCAACATGCTTATGAGTTCAGTTGTTGGAAGGATGATCTGAAGAGGTGTGGCTATAATATGATGTACAGATCTCCTCTATTGTTATACAAGCTTTACTATTGTAAACAATAGAAAAACAATGGTACTGACTGCAGGGAAGACTAGTTTTTCATTTTTCACTCTGTTCTGGCAGTTTGAACTAATGATAAAACACTGGTAACATAATGATGGTGTTGTATCAAGGATTTTAAACACATCAACCACTACCCAGTTTTTTTCATTTCAATTTTCTTTAAAGTAGAATAGGTGGGCAACTTGTTTATCTTCTATGCTCTTCAGTTGTCCTCTGTGCTCCCTCTACCAGGCCCACATATCCACATATCTTCCCTGAACCAGGTCCACATATCCACATATCTTCCTTGTACCAGGTCCACATATCCTCCCTCTACCAGGTCCACATATCCTCCCTCTACCAGGCCCACATATCCACATATCTTCCTTGAACTAGGTCCACATATCCACATATCTTCCCTGAACCAGGTCCACATATCTTCCCTAAACCAGATCCACATATCCACATATTTTCCCTAAACCAGGTCCACATATCCACATATCTTCCCTAAACCAGGTCCACATATCCACATATCTTCCCTAAACCAGGTCCACATATCCACATATCTTCCCTGAACCAGGTCCACATATCCACATATCTTCCCTGAACCAGGTCCACATATCCACATATCTTCCTTAAACCAGGTCCACATATCCACATATCTTCCCTGAACCAGGTCCACATATCTTCCCTAAACCAGATCCACATATCCACATATTTTCCCTAAACCAGGTCCACATATCCACATATCTTCCCTAAACCAGGTCCACATATCCACATATCTTCCCTGAACCAGGTCCACATATCCACATATCTTCCCTGAACCAGGTCCACATATCCACATATCTTCCCGTAAACCAGGTCCACATATCCACATATCTTCCTTAAACCAGGTCCACACATCCACATATCTTCCCTGAACCATGTCCACGAATCCTCCCTCTACCAGGTCAACGTCATTTCCCCCCTCCCCCTGTGCCATACTCAGATTGTTTCTCAAATTGCTGTTTCATACATATTTACATTTTTTTCTCTAATAAGTACCTGCTTTTGTAAATGAATACAATTATTTTATTCTCTGTAAATACCTAAATTATGCTGAAGTTTATTTTAGAATAAGTGTTTTACATATTTTTACTATTGAGCTTTATCAAAAGAATCAATGTTTTCATTATATGCATATATTCTTATACCAGCTTCAAATTTATTGTTGCATAATATATTTAAGAAAGCAGAATATGACACCCTTTACTTTTGTTATAGTGTGTTCTAGAGTACATCCAATTACATAATACTTCACTTGGAAACTTTGCATCTAAAGACTGGTAAAAGGAAACTTGTTCTTAATGCAGATTGGCAAGATTTTTACTTCTAAAACCTGTTAATGTTTTGTAAATATTAATTTTTTTAAAAATAGTGTTGTGCTTACTTTTAACCTCTTGCTTTAAAAATGCTTATTTAAGTTATTAAATATTTTAAAACATTTTTACAAGTAGAGCAGGGGACAGATAATTTTTTTTGCAAGTAGAGCTGGGTACAGATAAATATTGTTTTTTTTACAAGTAAAGCTGGGGACAGATAAATATTGTTTTTTTACAAGTAGAGCTGGGGACAGATACATGTTTTAAACAAGAAGTTCTGTGGACTGCTGCTAAGATGGTGTCTGCCAATTCCTCCCTTGTAATTCCTTCTTTTTGATCTGTTAAAAAACTTTTTTCTACCATTTTACTCTGTGAGATGCCAACTCCTGTGATTCCTGCCCTACCATTCCCATATAACCAAACCTCAGTTCATTGTTTGATATAACGCTGCTCTAATTGTAAATAGGGAACTTGTACAGGGGAAGCTAATAGTATTTTTATTCAGGCACCAACTGCTTATACTTTAATATTGAAAATTTGTATTTTACTTAATTATTTATGGTTTAATTGTATGGATATTTGTTCCATTATACTCCCAGACAATCATAAACAGGAATACTTATGGAAGTAGCTATACTTTTGTAATGAAATGACAACTACAGAAACATGTACATGTTGCTGGAATTATTTTTTTCTAGAAGTTACATTTGTGTTACATGTAGAGTTCATTCATTTCCTCTCTAAGTTCATCATTGGTTTCATGTGTGATTTTTTTTTTTAAACCACCTGTATGCTATTATTTAATTGTTAATTTTTCATGTGTAGCTCAAATGGTTTTGTTAGATCATTCACTCTATTCATAACATCTGGCTTGATACGTTTTCTTCCCTATTTCTTGATGCTCTCTTCTGATAATAGTAATTCTCACTACTCAATTGTCTATACATGCCTCTCATGGTGTGTTGATTTTCATACCTTGGCAGGCAATACTAGGAATTAAACTGACTGGCCTATTGAAACCACAACCAAACTTGTGGAAATTTGCCTCTTGACGTCACAGCAGACTCTTTCAACTTGATGACAAGACAGACCCCCTCTCTCACACAAGACAGACTCCTTCTCTCAGTCACACAAGACTACAACTGACCAAAACTTGTGTACTAATTTCTGTTTCCACAAAACCTCACTTCCTCACATGCAGCTTCACAGTGTCATGTTACTGAACATTCATTTGTTTAGACAAATTCCTTCCTTACACATTTAATCTTACTTGAACACAGACCTCTCTTATTTCACATTACCTATAGTTTTTGCAGTGTGCCTATACCCTACTCACTACATTGTCTATAGCTTATGCAGTGTGCCTATATCCTCAGTTTTCTATTCAGCTGTTGTTTAAAATATTTTGGTTCTTCCAGTCTATCGCTCGTCTACAGTGTGTTGTATGTTTAGCCCTGGTTTGATGTGAAGTTTGTACAGTTCCTGTTTTGTTATATGCCTAAGATCCTAACATTATTTACTTTCATAAACTGTGCCTTAACATTGCACTGTAGTACTTACCACCAACGGTACCATATCAGTGTTGTTTGTACTTGATACCTTGACTGTGCCTTAAGATTGCAGCGCTGTACTTACCAACTGTACCATATCAGTGTTGTTTGTACTTGATACCTTGACTGTGCCTTAACATTGCAGTGCTGTACTTACCACCAACTCTGCCATATCAGTGTTGTTGTTTTTACTTGATACCTTGACTGTGCCTTAACATTGCAGCGCTGTACTTACCAACTCTGCCATATCAGTGTTGTTGTTTTTACTTTATACCTTGACTGTGCCTTAACATACAATTTTTAAATGCCTCTACACTGTTATTTTCTTATTTTATAAGCTAAAAAATTTCTGTGATTCTGTACTGTTGCTAACTAATATATTACTAAATCTATTGTTGGATATCCCTCATGTTAAGGTGACTGTAGTTACACAAAGCTCATTTGTGTGTATGTTGTGTCCCATATGTCTTGTCTCAAGCTACACATCCAGATGATCTTGTACTTGTTAAATGTGATGTATGTCACATATGTTGAATGTTACGTCACCTCTACACATATCTTGAAGGTCTTCTGGTCATGACCTACACGCTACAGAGCTCCTGTTTTTGTTGCTACTGACCAATTATACAATGATGTTGGAACAATTGTTAATCTGTTCATGACCTACACGTTACAAAGCTCCTGTTGTTTTTGTTGCTACTGACCAATTATACAATGATGTTGGAACAATTGTTAATCTGTTCATGACAGTCTGTGATCATTGCTTGTTTCCTTTTTTTTTAATCAATGAGTTTTTTTGTTATTACAAGTTTTTGAAATTATTTTTTTACCTTGACCCATGATTTTTTTAGTATTTAATATTTGTACAAAATTATACTATGAATCATCGATGAACCCTATTATAAGGAACATGAATAGTCTGGGTTACCCCCATTATAACAAGCCAGAAATAGTCTGGGTTAGTTTGGGTTATCTCCCTTATAACAAGATGAAATAAAGAAAGCAAAAAAAAAA